TTTAATATTGCTTAAGCAACATTCTACAATAAGGAGAAAGATGCATTTGAAAAGTTGAGCAGCAATAGGCTGAACCATAAAAACTCTCCTAAAACAGCAATGATAAATGGTCCTTGAAGTCTATTGATTAACCTTTGTAATTTATTTGCTCTTATTGTTGAAGCTTTAATATTAGTTTGTGTTTGGTTTTTAAGACATTTTCTGCTTGTTGTTTTGCTGTTTGGGTCTTGCCACATTTGTTAATTTTTCTGCAGTTTTATTTTTCTCTGTCACTCTCTACTCTTTTGTCTCTTTCTTCTTAGTTTAATCTATTTCATGTCTGGTTTAATTTGTTAGATCTTTCCAATAGTTATGCTCTAGTTCTGTTATGGCTTTAAAATGTTTTAATTAGACCACTGACGAAATATCTTCCTCCTGCACTGTCATTTCCTATCTTTGGATCAATAAAGTATATCCAATCCAATCCAATCCAGGCTTAAGCACCTTTTGTTTTAGTTTTTCTTACATCCTGTCAAATTTTCGTCCAAGTTTTTGAGTTGTCATGGATTCAGTAAATTATTGCACAATCTTTCTTTACAATCAGAGCTCAATGATTTGTCTGATAATCTTAGAAAACAGTTTATGGTTTGATTAAACATTTAAACCTGATCAGTGTTTGCATCTTGCCTTTATGTAGCAAACATTACGGCACCTTATTGTGGTGACGTTTGCAGTGGAACCAATGCGACCTAAAATAAGCATCATTACAGAAACCTCTTTCATGCACATCTATTAGACTTGCTTACTGCTACACATTCCTCCAGTAATATTGTTTTAAAAAAACTGACAGTGCTTTCTAATAGAATAGAATAGAAATTCAACATCTTTTGTCATTACACTGTCACAAGTACAGAGTAATGAAATTCACTCACTGCATTTAACCCACTCCTTTTGGGAGCAACGTATGCCCAGAGAGCAAAATGGGGTTAAGGGTCTTGCTCAGGGGCCCACAGTGACAGTCCGTGGAAGTGGGGCTTGAATTCAGAACCTCTGGGATCCAAGCACATAGCCCTAACCACCAGGCCACCACTCCCCCATCAATAGTAATAATTTGAACTTATGTTATAACAAACATTTTTTTATATTTTATTCAGATTTTATGTGACAGACTAATAAGAAGTAGAGTATTATTATATAAAGGCTACAATAAAGCTTGATTTGTTGTCTTTTAATCTGATGAAAATTCCAATGGAACCACCTGCCTTTGAATCCCACTCAGTATAAGTCCAGACATTTTGTAAAGACTAAAAATTTTAGAGGACTTTGTAAAACTTTATTTGAAGGCGTATCATCAAACATGACATAACACCTGTCATGGACATGAAAGTGTCAGGGTTCCTTTGTGTTAGTGAGTGCGAGTTATGCATCTCCCACCATAGAGGATCTTTGGTGAGAACCTGGGCAGGCTACACAGGTGAACATAATATTCCTAATCAGAGTGCTGGACTTAAAAGTGCAGCAGAGCCTTCACTCGAGGCTGGTTTATTGTGTTGTAGAAGTTTGTTTGGTTGCCTTCTAGTCTCTAGCTTCTCTCAATTATTTTCCCTGATGTTATTGCTTTTTGTTTGGTTTTCTGTATTTTTGGATTTTGGATTTTTGACTGTGTTCGCCTTGGACTTTTAATTAAATCATCCAAACTCATCCATTGTAAAAAGGATCTAGAAATAAGTAAAAAATTTTCTTAATTTGAGTGGGTAAATGAAATGCTTTGCCAATGGAATGAGTATTTTTACTCTTAAAAGAAGAAATTTAGATAAAATGCACTTGAAATAAGACAATGCAATTGTGTTTTCTTATTTTAAATGTAAATTGTCTTGTTCCATTGGCAAAATGTCTCTTTTACGTCCTCAATTCAAGAACAAATGCACTTATTTTAGGAAAAAATAACTTATCTAGATTTCCATTTTTTCCAGTGTCCGTGCCAACTCCTCTCTGCATTTGGGTCATCAAAACCTCCACACAACCTGACAGAAAGACTCTATGAATGTTTATGACTGTTTTCATTAACAGTCATTCAATAAATTAAGTCACTTTAAACGCAAAGTCGATATTGTTAAAAGTAAGAGACAAAACTTTTCTAAAAAAAAAAAAAAATGATATTAACCAGTAAATCCTAAACCATCATAAATGTGTCATAACATGTCTTATTATTAACAGTGGCAAAGTTTTCATAGGGATGACCTGCAGGGACAAACCTACACTGTACAGACAGGAAATAAACGAGCACAAGATGCAAAATTTCCAAATAAATCAGTAAAGAAAGACTAGAATGTAACAAAGCTCTTTCTAATAATTATACACACACATCTATACGTCTAAATTGATAATTAAACACATAATAATCATATTTAAAAGTGCACAAATTCTGTATCTGTCATTTTTTATGTAGCATATTGTTATTCAAATTTAGTTACTTTCTTTTAGTTGTCAGTGTATAGTTAATATACAAACAATTAGAATGTAATATTACTAATAAGTAATTAGGACACTTTACTTAAAAGCATTACTGATACAAACCCCTGGTTTAGAGGGGAACTTCTGTTTTAGGAGATGCAAAATTATGTCAACACTGAAAAAATAAAAAATCATGTGGAAGAGGTGGCAGATTCAAAAATATAATTTGATAAATGTTTTAACATTACATTACACTGCTATTAGTCTGTTTTTAAAGACAGTGTAAAACATCTTTACAACTTGTCCTACTTTTTCAACCTTACTTTAAGTAAAGCAAAATATCAATGACACGTATAAAATCGTTTCATCATGGCAGCAGAAATTAAGCCCAGTCACGTGACAGTATAATTTAATGTTAATATATACATTTTCATAACTTTTTAAAGGTTTACGTTAAGACCTGTTTTAATCTATTTTTATTTTCGTCATTACAAATACATTTTAAACAATGTCAGCTTTGCACTAAATGTATCATAATTTACTGAATGACTAAATGATGGCAGTCAAAATCAAAGAAAAAGAAAAACTCCTTTATATTTATGGGAGGTGTGATGTCATGATTATAGAGTAACAGTGTAATATTATTGTCCTGCCATAAAGTGCATCTGCAGAGATGGGAAGTAACAAAGTACAAATACTTCGTTACTGTACTCAAGTAGATTTTTCTGATATTTTTACTTTACTTTACTACTTATTTTTATGGCGACTTTTTACTTCTACTCCTTACATTTTTACACAAATATCTGTACTTTCTACTCCTTACATTTTAAAAAATTGGCTCGTTACTTTAGTTTTGAATCATTTCAATGGAGTTACCGTTATTATTTTTCACGTCATCAATACCAAATTCAATCTAATTGGATGGGAATCTACGTTGCATTTGACGCACCACTACAAGATGAATCGACAGATTCGGAGGTATTCATTCGCGGCAAATCATTGCAGCTTGGTGGCGGTGGCGTTAGCATAGTAGCATGGACGACGAGATGATTGAAAATGAACACAACGGAGATCTAGTCCTATTGGCAGACATCCATTTAAAATGTAGGCAACGGCATGAAAAAGTGGTTTCTACTTTTACTTTTATACTTTAAGTAAATTTACAAGCCTGTACTTTGTTACTTTTACTTGAGTAAAGAAGTTTAATCAATACTTCCACTTTTACCAGAGTATTTTTTAACACAAGTATCTGTACTTTTACTCAAGTATGGAAAGTGAGTATTTTTGCCATCTCTGTGCATCTGTGGGCTTTAGTGAACTAACGGCAACCTGAGAGGGAAGAAACACGGCAGACATGGATGTTTAAAGTATGATTTGGTTATAAAACAATAACCAAAATTCGGTCCATCATATGGAGGACAAAACATGGTGATCCCCCTACAACCATAGCCCCCGATAAGTAGAACATTAAGAAGCTGAAGGTGAGATTTGATAATTTTGGGCTATATTCATTCATAGCAGACTGTCCAGACAGTGACGCTGTGAATCATGATGTCAGAGTACTTGAACAGACACAGGGAAGCTGATTAGAATTGATGGGAATAAAGATGGACAGGGGGATTCCTGAGAAGTGTAGTTATGTCTAATTACAAGCTACCTGCAAACTCCTTCACCTTCTTCTTGGTTTATCTAGCTAGTATTGGGTAAGTTTAAAGCTGATTAATGCATCTGTGGCACTTTTATTACCTCTGTCCTTATAGAAAATTTACAAACACAGACTAAGTTTTTTTTTTTCTATGATTATGACCCCCACATAGTCACTAGCCAATACCCCCTGCAGCACACAGTTTGGATCAGGAATCAGTCAGAACTTAAATGATGTTAGAGGAAACCTGCCACCTGACAATCATGGTTCCATTATTTCTAGTGCCATCCAAACAAGCGACCCCCCAGGAACTTTTGGATAATGCACAGGCTCAGAACAAAACATAAGTGCTTTTGCAATTACAGAGCGAGCAGAGTGTCAGTCACTTCAACAAGACAGATCGGCTGTCATCCCGATGCTGCCCTGATTTCAATCTGTCCAAAACAAACTCTGCAAAACGTACTGGATCTCATGCCTTATGACATGTGTGTCTATCTGCAGCATATTTTATCATCCTTGCTTTGTTTCTGTGTGACGCAACGTATATTTAAGTCTGAAAATGTTCAACAAATAGTTTAGGGGTTAAAATTTGCTTAAAAGGTTAAATCTCTTGCACCGGGTCAAAGATTAGGGTTAGGATTGTAATCAGTGTGGTTAAGCCTCAGGGAACTTAATGTATCTCTCAAACACACCCTCTGGGATTTCTCTTGTGTGTTTGTGTTGAGATGAAAACGAGAGCAGAGACATAATGAAAATAACCTCAATGTGGATGTTGTGAAATGTTGTTCAAATCCAGTGTTATTGGGAGAAGTGTGGGAGGATCACTGAGGCCAGACTGGAAAGGAGGCTGGGTGTGTGCATCAAGGAGGTGGGTGGTTGAGGGTCACAGTGGTCACTGAAAGGGTTTTCCCAACTAACTGACCTGCTCGGAGAGCTGCTTGCCTCTGAGGAAGAAGCCCAGCAGGCAGCCGATGACCACGGCCAGAACAGACAGGATGAGCAGTCCGTTCTGCTTGCAGACATTCTTCACTCGGCCCCACACTTCTTCCAGAGCCATCCTCCTCCACCGCCTCCTCCCGCTGCTCGTCCGGGTCCTGACTGCAACTTTGCAACCCTCAGAGAAAACCACCAAAGCAAGCCCCCGTTTTTAATCTGCTATTCAGCCATGTACATCCAGCAGACAACCAACAACTGCAGCTTCAAAAGAGGGCGAGACAGCGGGTGGATGTAGCAGATGGGGAATATGGGTTGGAAGCAGACAGAATAAGGAGAAAGTGGATTTAGGAGACACAAAAAATGAAAACAAAATCAGAAAAAAATAAAATAAAAAAGAGGTGATTTCAGAAATGAAAAAACAAGATAGATAAATGAGCTGAAGATCCAAAGTGAAACAGTTCAGGGATGCATTCCCCTCCAGGCTTTGTCCTCCAGTACTTTAAATCTAAGCAGAAGCATCCCACTGACACACTCCCTCTCTCAGCCAGAGTCTGCCTCCAACCCGTCTGCCCCCTCAACCTCCTCCCCTACAGGACACATTTCTGCCGGCGACCAACAGAGGGCCCTGCGACAGCTGGTGGAATTGTCATTAGGGTTAATACTACGATCCTATTAGGCACTGTGCAGTACAACTCAGATGTAAGGCTGGATTAGAGAGCTCTCTGAACAATTGGACAGCAGATTGGTCCAGGCCACCAAACATGAGGGAGGGGGGCAGCAAGAATGAAAGGGAGGAAGAGAGGAAAAAGTCACAAAGGATTAAAAGCAAACTATGATTTACAGAGAGAACATTTAATAACACCTAACACTATTTTAATGGAATAAGAAGCCACTTAGGTGTTTAGGATTCCTCTCAGAACTGTGTAGGCAGCAGTCCATTAGGTCTACAGTCTCACAGCTGGTAAGAAGTGATGTATACTTAGGTGTTGTCAGCTCCATGGCTATAGCCTATAATCATAGTCACAGTATGTCAGGAAAAACAGCATTTTCAGAATACTGAAATAGATTCATATGAGAAGAACAATAAAATGGCAGCTTGTTCTCTACTTAATTTTCCTTTTCAATAGTATCTCTCAAGAGTTAGACATAAGTAAGCAGGTTGGATGGTATAAGTGTGGTAAAACCTAATAATTTAATTACTTACTCAGCAGGTGTTACTGAGCCTGTAAATGTAGCTTGTTGTGTTATTGAGGTGTTTTATTTTATAGAAAAGAAAGTGGTGAAAAACAAAAACAAAGAAAAAGCAAAAAAGACTCCAGGTAAAATTCAGAAATGAGTAAATTTGTCTATATCCCCCTTCACTTGGATACCCAAAAAGGAAAACTCAAGAGCAGGCAGGTGTCCTCATGATCGCCTAATACGTGAACCTATCAAGAACTGGATCTCTTTTAGAGCTAACTGGATGGACATGGAGAGCATTAATTAGACAAGCAGCCAAGAGTCACGCAAACTCTGGAGGTGTCAGGGATCTAGGTGTGTTGTATCTATTTACAGCGGGTCCAGCACTGAACTGGTTTAAATCCTATGTAAAGGACAGAGATTTTTGCTGTCAGTAGGTAACTTTACATCAGAAACAACAATATTCACATGTATAGTTCCCCAAGGGTGCATCTTAGGGCCACCTTCAATTATATATCTACATGCCAATGCCAATCAATCTGGTCCTGGGTAAATGCATTGTTAGAATATAACTGAATAATGGGGAGTGTTGGCCTGGTGGTTAGGGAGTGCGCTTGTGCTCAGGCAAGGTTGCAAGTACACAATTCAATCCCCACAGTCTCCACTCTGGGTGCCTGAGCAAAACCCTTAACCCCCACACTGCTCCCCGGGAGCCACACAATGGCAGCCCACTGCTCCCCGAGAGGATGGGTCAAATGCAGAGAGTGAATTTCCTCATTGTGGGACAATAGGGTTGTCACGATTCTAAACTTTT